CCCCCTGGAAAGGACACTTTCCAACCTGTGGCGCTGCCTGCAGGTTATGAAGTATGCTCCAGGTTTCCAGCTTTTGTGAGCTGTCACCCATGCTGGGGTGGGATTTGGTGATATAGCTGTCTTTGAGTCATTTCTGCTTTTGTAAGTAACTTCTCACCCATTTTTCTCTAAGTGACCCCAATAAAATGCATCAGTTCACAAAGTTGGACCATGGTAGTATCCATGCTTTGCTTTGTCACGGGCTCCCTTCCAGCAGTGCGTATGCATGTATGTGTTGTGTCTCCCCAGGAGAAGTCTGCCACACATTACAACAAAACAATTGATTCTTGATATTTAAGGCATAGGTTTATGGTGCTTTATTGACAGCTGGACCTTATTAATATGCTGGTAATATATTAATATGTTCCTACTTAAAATCTAACTAACCAGAAATAAAATATATTCATTGCAAGCAAGTAAAGTACATTTGTAATAAAGACCATCCACCAAAGAAAAATGTATTATATTAGTTTATTAAGTAAAATAATTTAGGCCTTTACTGTGACATATTATATCAACTGAATTACCAGTGCTAAAGTGAGTTATCACTGGTGTGGGACAGGTCTATATTCTGTCAATTATATTTTAAATAAATGCTGGTTGGCCAGTAGCCAGATAGGAAGTAGAGGCAGGGCAATGAGAACAGGAGTATTCTGGGAAGAAGGAAGCTCCCTAGGCAGTCCTTCCCAGATCACCAAAGAAGCAGGATGTGACCTGTCCCTCTGAAAAAGGTACTGAGCCATGTGTCTAACATAGATAAGAATAATGGATTTATATAAGTTATAAGAGCTAATACGAAGCCAGAGCTAATGGGCCAATCAGTTTTATAACCTATGGAGACCTCTGTGTGATTTTCTTTGGGGCTTACTGGCTGTGGGAACTGGGCAGGACAGAAGCCCCAACAAGCAGGCCCTCATGTTACATATTACTGTATAGGGAAGGATATATTTGGTACAATGTAGTATCATAAAACCATAAAAAAAATTCTAAGAAAGGGTCTAAAACAACTTTGTATTCAAACAAAGAAAAGTCCAGGATAGATAGATTCATAGCTGAATTTCAGCAGACCTTTAAGAAAAAAATAATAATGCTCTTCAAATTATCCCATAAAATGGCGAGGAAAGAATGCTTCTAAGCCCATTTCACAATGCAGTACTACCTCAATACCAACACTCTGTAAGGATACAGTTCCACCACCAGACCAATTAAAGAGAAACCAAAAAAGCACTTAATATATTACCTGCAAACTTGCACATTAAAAAGATCATATTACCATGACCACATTGCTCCTTTCCAGAAGTACAAGGATGATTCAGCCTACACAAATTAACATGTTTCTGAATAGAACTCCAATAACTCAAATAATAGCAAGAATCAACAAACAAGATTGCATCAAATTGAAAAGCTTCTGCCTAGCAAAAGAAATAGCAAAGAGTACGCATACAAAATGAGAGAAAATCTTCACCAGCTATTCTTCCAGGAGGGATTAATACCCAGAACATATAAAGAACTCAAATTATCCAACAGCAAAAGGCTAAATAACTAATGGGGAAAAGGTCTGAATGGACTCAATCTTCAAATGGGCAATAAGTACAATATATTTTTAAAAAGTGTTCAATATCATCAGCTCTCAGGAAAGCGACATGGAGGGGACCAGTAAGATGGCTCCGCAGGTAAAGGTGCTTGCCACTAAGCCTGACAACCCTAGAGCCCATGTGGTGGAAGGAAAAAACCGACTCCCCCAAGTTGTCCCTGAGCTCCACACATGCACAGTGGCATGAGCACACACACACAATAAACAAATACACAAACATATAAACAAATACTTCCAGAGATTTTTTTCTGTCTTTAGTAAATTAATATTCTTGATAATTAGATCCCTAACACCAATAGGCAAATTTTGAAAGATCTGTAAAACTATATCTTCAAAATAGCCTAAAAACTCTGATTTTTAAAAAGCATATAATATGTGTAACACTACATAATGACACTGCTATAATAATTTTTAATTTTTTTATTGAAAATAGGTTTTCTTTCATAAACTATATTGTGGTTACTGTTTGTCCTCCCTCATCTCCTCCCAGATCCTCCCCACTTCTTCCCCACCCACCCAAATCTACATTTTTTCTTTCTCATTAGGATTCAAACAGGCATCTAAGAAATAGTGATAAAATAAATTAAGATAAGATAAAGCAAAACTAAATAAGCCACAATAGAATATAGCTAACAAACAAAATGGCCAAGGAAGTATATATAGACACAGTGACACACACATTTGCACACACACAAACCCATAGAAATATAAAGTTGGAAATCATATCATATACCCAAAGGATCTGTAAGGTAAAAAAATAAAATAAAACAAAACAAACAATAAACAATAAAGCCCTGACAAAATATTATTAGACAAAAATCCTCGAAAATGCCATTGAGTTCATTTTGTGTTGTCCATCTGCTGCTGGGCGTGGGAATGGTCTTCAGAGTGGTTTGTGTACCCTGTGAAACTCCATTGGAGAAAACAAAGTTTTCATCTGTTAGTGGTTATCAATTGTAGATGGCCTCTGTGAGGGATGGGGCTTGTATCCACCACCCTTCTCAGGGCTGAGACCCCATCTGGTCCAGACCTATGCAGGCTCTTTGCATGCTACTACATTCTCTGTGAGTTCATATGTGTGGATCATGTTGATACAGGGCCTTAGTGGTTTGTTTTGTTTTATTTTTCTTGGAGTTTTATTTTTCTGTGATGACTGAGGAAGGCATTGATCTGTGAGTATAGCAGAATGGTATTAGGAACCTTTTTATTGCTAGATTCCTTAAGCAGAACAGAACTTCTTTCCCCTAGTCCCTCACCTATCTAGTCTCAAGTGTCAGGAATGGATTCCATTTCATGGAGTAGGCCTTAAATCCATCAGACATCGATTGGTTAGTTGTACAAGCTTTGTGTCAGTATTGTACCAGAAAATCTTGTGGACAGGTCACTATTGCAGACTGGAGGGCTTGTAGCTGGATTAATATTTACCTTTCTTCTTTGGTAGCCTTCAGAGCACCTTCTAGTATTATGAACACTAGTCAATTGGCGTGAAGGCTCTAGTTAGGCACCAGCTTAACTTCTTCATATTCAGTGATGATTAAGGAAGGCACTGATCTATGAACACACCAGAATGTTATTAGGATCCTTTTATTGCTAGATTCCTTCAGCAGAACAGTACTGCTCATTGGTGAAGAGTCCTGGCTGCTCTTCCAGAGGGGTTCAATTCCTAGCACCCACAAGGTCACTCGTAACCATCTGCAACTCTGGTTCAGGGTATCTAATACCCTTTTTTTGGGGGGGTCTCCACGTGCATCAGGCATGCATATGATGTGCAAACATGCATACACATGTTACACAAACAAAATATCCAAATATGTAAAAATAAATAAATAAATAATTTTAGAGGTATGGAGATCCCATCTGTGCCAGCCAGAAGTGCTGCTATCAACGATGCAGAATTAATGAATACTTAGGATGCAAAGGAGCAGAATCCTTCTGAACCCCCAGGGTGTTGTTTCTCCGTAGCTATCATTCTAACTAGGGTAAAACAGGATCTCAATGTAGGCTTAACTTGCATTTTGTTCCTGGACAGTGAGGCTGGACATCTCTCTTGTTCACTTCTGTGTGGGAATGAGAAGGCCCCCTGCATAGGCTTATATATTTGAATGCCTGGTCATTAGCAAGTGATACTACTTGACAGGGATTAGGAGGTGTGGCCTTGCTGGAAAAAGTCTGTCGCCAGAGGTGGGCTTTGGGGTTTCAAGGGTCCAAGCTCTGTCCAGAGTTTCTCTCCTCCAGCTGCCTGTAGATCTAGATGTAGAACTCCACCCTCTCCAACACCATGTCTGCCTGAATGCTGCCAGGCTCCCTGCCATGAGGATAATGCACTAAATGCCTACAACTGTAAGCCAGTCCCAGTTAAATGTTTACCTTTTGTAAAAGTTGCTGTGGTCAAGGTGTCTCTTCACAGCAATAGAACACTGACTGAATCATTATGATAATGAAAATATCATTAGCTAATTTATTGTGCTGTTCGATGTCTTCCTGTACAGTTGTTAGTTTCTTTATTGTACGTATTAACCCTGTTAGATGGATAGCAAGCAGATTTTCCCTTTACTCGTTAGGTGGTCTCTTCACTCAACCGTTCCGTTGCTGTACCACAGTGGTTTATCTGGGAGGTTCCATCTATCAGCTGCTGTCATTTCCTAAGGGTGCAGACTCCTATTCAGAAGATCCTCCTCCCCATGCCCAATACTGAATTGCTCTACCTACTTTCTCCTTGAAACGTTCCGAGTTTCTGATCTTCCACTAAGGTCTTTGATCCGTCTTAAGTTGTGCACGGTGAATTTCATTCTTTTACACATGGATTTCCCCACCACTATTTTTTCAAAGGTTTCCTTCTTCAATGTCAAAAAAACAGGTGGCTGTAGCTACGTGGATTCACATTTGTTATCTAATCGACTCCTCTGTGTGTCTGTCTTCATGCCAGTACAAGGCTCTGTCACCAAGATCTGTGGCATAATCTGAAATTAGGCATGGTGATACTGCCAGCATCTTCTTTTCGTCTATGATCCCTCTGACTATTCAAGGTCTTCTGTTTCCATATGAATTTTAAGATTTTTTTTTTTCAAAAAAAAAGATTTTTTTTCTATTTCTGGAATGTCACTGGAATCTTGGAGGCAATTACACTGAACTTAAAGAATGGTTTGGGAAGTAAAACCATTTCTACATTGCTAATTCTGTCAATGCATGAGCAAGGAAGGCCTTTCATTTTTCTAGTAACTTCTTCAATTTATTTCTTCTGAGTTTAAAGTTTTCAGTGTAGAGGTCTTTTGTTTCCTTGTTTAGACTTCTAGTGTACCACCATAATGAGGGCAGACAATGGCTGGGGGACATAGGTGGCAGGGTGGTCCTAGGAACGTGGGTGCATAGGCAGCAGCCTCCCCAAATCAGTCACTGGCAGTTCCCCTCTTCCCAGAAAAACCAACTGCCTCTGGCAGCCTAGAGCTCCTCATAGTCCCCACCTCCTGGGTGGTGGCTTCCAGGAGCCCTGCCGGCCCCCAGGAAGGCTTCCAGCTCATCTGCAACCTTCTGTTCCTTGCTCCAAGGGGGCTTCCTCTTCTTCCTCCGATCCTCCTTGCCTTGCTCTTTATCCTTGTTCTTGTGTTTGCTTTTCATTTTTGGAGCCTTTTCTTCCTCCTCTTTGCCTTTCTTCTTCTTTTTCTTCTTCTCTTTAGAGGGAAGCTTGCCGTCTTTATCTTCATCACTTCTTTCCTTAGGTCCAGTCTCCTCCAGGCCCAGACCAAAGAGGTCTGAGTCATTTTTCAGTCTGAAAGCAGAGACTGGGGGTTTGGAGGGTGAGGGTGGCTGGGCAGAGCCAGTGTCCTCATCGGTCACATCAGAGAGGTCTTCTCTTACTGGGAATCCCCCCACTCTCCTCTGTGTGTCAGATTCATCCCTTTCAAAGTCAGGATCATCTATGACAAAGAACAGCATCTTTCTGACGACACTTGCTTGTCTTTCCCTTCCTGGGGTCTATGAGTGCCATCAGTGGGTGGCTTGGTACTGCCATGGTCAGGCCCTGAGCCAGTGGTGAGACCATCTGAACATGAAGGTATGGCTCGCGTGGGAGTTCTCTTCTTTCATGAATGTGAGGCCTTGGTGGAGGACCATTTTGTCTCAGACTCTGAGCATTGCTGAGGAGCCACTCAGGGGTGGCCTACCAGTCCTTCAGCTTCCTCCTCACTGGAAAAACTGATATTCTTACTGGGGACGGGGTCTGAGGACAGCAGGGATTTGCTATGTGGCTGATCTTCTATGTCCACGCCATCCTGGAAACCTGCCACCATTGGGTTCCCTCCGATGGCTTCCCCATCGTCACTGTCACTGTGGACCTTTGGCTCCAATTTAATTCTTGTCTTTAGGTAGGGTTGTAGCTTCCAAGAAGCTTCAGTCAAGGCCATCTTCAGGAACAAAATCCTCAATGTTCTGGACTCTTGCTGGGACCTCTAGAGCTGGAGCTGGCTCTGGAGGTGAAGGTGTCACGTCAGAAGCTGGCGAGGTCCCAAATGGTGTAGGAGGGTCTTCTTTCTATGTGTTACTTTCATTGGCCAAATAAAAAAACTTCCTTGGCCTTTTGATAGGACAGCAGCTTAAATAGGCAGAGTAGACCGAACAGAATGCTGGGAGAAAGAAAGCAGAGTCAGGCAGACACCATAGCTCTCCTCTCCGAGATGGACGCTGGATAGACTCATGCCAATAAGCCACAGTCAAGTGGCAATACAAATTATTAGAAATGGGTTAGAGCAATAGGTGAGAGTTAGCCAATAAGAGGCTAGAACTAATGGGCCAGGCAGTAATTTAATTAATACAGATCTCTGTGTAATTATTTCGAGTAAAGCTATCCAGGCAGCGGGAAATGGCCTGCTGCTCCTTTTACAACACCATAAAACCGCTCAAATGATTTCTTACAATAAGAATCTGTTAATTTCTTCAAAATGTTAGAGGAAAAAAAAAGCACTGCAGGAATTGCAGTCTAAAGAAACAGTGCAGGAATGATACAAAGGGGGAAAGTGCACCCTCTGCGAAAAGAAGGGGGCTCCAGAACTAGGGGTGTAAACATGGTCAGTGCTACAGGGGTACTTGTATCTGCTGGGCTCATCATTCGTAAAATGGCCTCAGGATAGATCCCTGGGCATGGTCCTGGGATGGGGAGGAGTATGAGGACCCATGAGCAGGCATCATGCCGACAGAAGGGTATGAGTGTAGCAAAGACAAGAATCACAGCTCCAGACAGGAGAGAGGGCCTAGGCAAAACCAAAAGCCACTCAAAAGTGCAGACAAATGAGTACTATGTCTTATATTCAGACTCTGTGCCTCAGAATCAGGGAGGACATTTGATGGTGACAGCGGAAGCCAGAGGACAACAGAAAGAGTGATTAGTAAAGTTTAGGGAGAGGAGGCATAGACAAACACCCAAGAGACAGCTGTGAAAGAAAGGCAACTAGGAGGGTGGTCCAAAAGGCAGGAAGTGCAGGGAGGGTTTGCTGGCTTAAATGGAAGTGTAATCTAGAGATGGACTATCTCTTTTGGCCACAGTGACGCTCCTAACCCTTGTGAGAACAACCCTGTGAGCCTTCTCAGTCCAGTCACCTCTACCTAGTAAAAGGTTCACTACACAGCAGCCAGGAGAAGACCCTTCTCATCTCTTCTCCAGGGTATGGCTTTCTGGTCAGTGTCAATCTGTTATTTTACACCTCGAGGACAATTCTAGTTGCAGCTGAACTTTCTCTTTCTAGTCAGTGCTAGGAATAGATCAACAAAGAAGGAACTCACCCTCTGAGTACTGAAGCGCTGTTAAAAGGCACACATGGCTTACAAAGTAACATTCACTAATGTTTCTGTTTGATTGCTTGGGGACAGTGTGCGCCGTAGATGCATGTATGTGCACATGTGCATGTTGGGGGCGGGGAGCACGTGCCTGTGGATAGGGGCATGGAGGCCAGAGGTTGCTGCTCCCATCTTACAGTCGCACTTAAACTGGCTGCCCGGTGAGCCCACCATCTGCCTGTCTCTGCCGTCCCCAAGTGCCAGGATTCCAGTGGCCATCGCGCCAGGATTTTATGTGGTACCAGAGACCTAGATATTCACACCCATGCTGGCACAGCAAACACTTCACCCACTGAGTCACCTCCCTTGCCTCATAGTCAGTATTTTAAAAACCTAACTTCCCACAGGTCAGGGAACCCTGATTGCTCTTCGGGCTGATGAGGGGGACTTGATTGGGGGAGGGGGAGGGAAATGGGAGGCGGGGAGGAGGCAGAAATCTTTAATAAATAAATAAATTTAAAAAAAAAACCCTAAACCTTATTTCTTTGGGAGGAGGGCGTGTGACAGCATGCATGTGGTGGTCAGAAGACACATGCAGAAGTCAATTCAAATCTCTCCTTCTACCATGTGGGTCCTAGCGGTGGAACTCAGGTCATCAGGCTTAGCGGCAATCACTTCTGCCCACTGAGCCATCTCATTGGCCCATGTTTTGTAGGGTGTTTTGAAGGGGTTATTTGTATTCCTAAAATCTGACACACATTGTACAAAGGCTTTGGGTTTTGGTTTTTATAGATAGGGTTCCATACAGTCCAGGCTGACCTCAAACTTTGACCCCATCAATCTGCCTCTGCCTTCTACCCCCTGGGTGGGACTGCAGGTGTGCCCCACCATATGTGGTTTATACAGTGCTGGAGACTGAACCAGGCAGGCACTCTGCCAACGAGCTGCACCCCAGCTCTGCTTTCACATTTAAGAATTATATTCTTCTAGAGGAATCAGCCAACAGACTACCTGGTCATAAGGCATCAGAATGAAATAACACTCTGAGAACTGAAATTCACAAGATTAAGTTCTTACTTTTGCCATTACAGCCTGTTCTATTTGCTCTAGAACAACCACACAGTGTGATACTCTCAGAACGGCCTCAAAAGAAACATTTCACAAACTGTCCAAGACAATTCACCAATTCTTAAGTATTTCCAATAAGCTCTGAACAGCTTACTTAGGGAATATTATTTACTGATGATGTACTTCATGGTTTAGAGCCTGAATATTAACCCCGCACCCCAGTATCCATTCTTGCTAAGTAAAGGCATGTCAATCAAATATTTAAACCTGTTCCTTTGCAGGTGATGAAATTATACAAATATTCCCTTATTTTCTTTACAGTTCTACTGGGGATAAAGAGTAGCATGTATTTATGCTGCCTACGTTGTTTCAATGATAGTTTTCCTCGCTGTATGGAAAGAAAGTATGATTCATAAAACCAAATTCATCTCAAGTAATTTAAACAAGATGAGGTGGACAAAAGAAAAACATAGAATGAGGAAGTCACAAATAAAAACGCATGCCAAAGAACACTGATGTGGCAAAGGCTACAGAGCATCACCTAATACAAAAGGATCGTCAGCAGAAAATCCCAGGTTGCAGCACCAAGCATGTATACACATGCACACAGAAACATGGGCACACGTGAGTGAATAAGCACACCACATCTATCTTCTGAACCATTTTAAAATAAATTTTGTCTACCAGTGCATATTGTTCTTAAAGACAGTCAAATATTATTTTCTAAGATTTAAGGCCAAAGAATTATCACATCCCAAATTTAGAGTAATATAATATTCTCTAATTTCAAGAGCATAATAAATAAAATAAAATTATTCCAGTAGTGAAATTTACAGTATCTTTTCTTTATCAATGTAGATCTACTTAGAATTCTACATTGTGTACTATTACTTTAGTATTCTTAAACCTGAAACACAGAGAGAGTATGTGTGTGTGAGCAAGAGTAAGAAAGAGAGAGAGAGCTACTGTTTTATTTTTTTAATTTTATGAAATTTATGTTGTAAAGAACCTGGATGTTGGTTGTAAAGTATACAGGTTTTTAACATTCTTATTTTATGGGGGCTTTTCATATCAAATTATTCAAGGAAATTTGATGTTGTTTCTTCTTAGTACAACTATAAGTGAGTATCTAAAATTAATTAATATCATCTTAATCAATATAATTACATATACTAATATCATCACATTAATAATCTGAGGGAAAATTTATGAAATATATTACTCTTCTCAAGTAGTATTCTTCTCTTGTAATGTACTACTCAGCTTAAATCCATCAAGCAATAAGCAAGCTGGGACTTGAGAGCCGACTCAGCAGTTAAGAACACTTGCTGATCTTTTAGAGGACCAGTGTTCGGCTTTCAGTAACCGTATCAAGTGGCTCATTACCGCTTGTAACTACAGGTCCAGGGAATTCAACATGACACACTGTCCTGCCATCTTCCAGCACCTGCACACATGCAACATGTACATTTTTTAAATTTATTTATTTATTAAAGATTTCTGCCTCCTCCCCGCCGCCGCCTCCCATTTTGCCCCCCTCCCCCGATCAACATGTACATTTTTAAAAAACCTTTTGAAAAAAAAAAAAAAAACAAGTATAGTGGCCCATGTGTAATCCCAGTACTCAGGAGGCTGAGGCAGGAGGATCACCACATTTTCAGTGCCTAAACCACAATATGTGACTGTGTCCCAAAACAAACAAACAAACAAACAGATAAGAAATAGAACAGAAATTGCTTTTGCTTATAAAGGTAGATCCTAAAATGATTTATCTATTTTTATTGTATGTGCATTGGTGTTTGACCTGCATGTATGTTTGTGTGAGTGTGCTGGATTCTCAGGAACTGGAGTTACAGAGAACAGTGAGCCACCATTTGGGTGCTGGGTATTGAACTCAGGGAATTAATCCCAGCACTCGGGGGGCAGAGGCAGGCAGATCTTTATGAGTTCAAGGATAGTCTTGTCTACAGAGCTTGTTCTAGGACAGCCAGGGCCACCCCTGTCTCAAAAAACCAAAACCAAAAACACAAAAACAAAACAACAAAAAAGGTAGATCCTAAGACCAAGCATCGCCTACAGGTGCAGCAAGGTATAGGCTGGAGCTTGCCAGTCTCCACCCAGCTCCCTGGAATCCTGTCCTGGGTAGAGTTGTCAAACAAAGGCCAGAGGGACTGTTCACGTGTATGGAAGGAATTCAAAGAGGCAGTGAGAGCCATCGAGAAACTAACTAGACATTAAGGAGAATCTGACAGTCCACGGCAGGGTAAGAGGAAAACCTTCCACTCCACATTCTCACCAAGGATTCAGCTCATTTTCCACCATGGATTGTACAACAGGAGGTG